TGCCTACATGCCATGGAGACGCATGTCATCATCAACTTCCTGCCAACTGTGTTGTTGCAGCTTTTTCAGGTGCTCACAGCAGCAAATAAAGAAGCTCATGATGTTGCAGTCAACGCCCTGCGGTGAGTGGCGTAATTTGTATGCAACATGTGGTTTAAAATTTTTTTTTTTTTTTTTGGTTTCTTGTTTTTAAACTTTCTCCCCCACTCTGTGCTCTCAGTGTGATCATACATATAGTCTCCAGGTGTCACGAGGAAGGACTGGAACACTATTTGCGCTCCTTCCTGAAGGTAACATACTGTAATGTAATGTATAAATAAAATGTATTTTATTTTTATTTCCCTTCCTGGGATTTGGGGCTTTGTGGAATCGAACTACAACCCTTTAGGATATGTTCTACCTTTAGCCTTAAAGAGTTATAACTGAGTGGATATCTCACTCCAATGAAGGTGAAAGAAGAGAAAGTATTGAAAAGAAATTTATATAGCGCAGCAATACCACTTTCCCCCACAAGGGGGCGACGTCTGCCCGTACTAAAATGAACTTGGACAAGCCATTCGGTGACTTCACAAGTGGGCAATTATAAAGATAAAAAAGTATAAAAAAATAAAATTAGTTAGGTAATACATTATAATAAAAATAAGAAATCTTTACCTCAGTTTATTAAAAAAATTTAAACAAATCAACATTGACCCTGGCGTGTGAATGATTTTTATTCTTTTTTTTTTTTTATCCCCAGTATGTGTTTGTCACCAAAGTCCCCCTGTCAGGAAACTCGGCAACCACCCACGAGGTGCTCGCCACCGCGGTCACAGCTGTCCTCAAGCAAACTGCTGATTTTAACACCAGCAACAAACTGCTGAAGGTCAGTGCTCCTGGCTACAGACACACCAAAGAGGAACTGAGGGAACTAGTTAATCACAACTCCGTTCTATTCCTGTCTGTAGTACTCCTGGTTCTTTTGTGAGACCATGGCCAAATCCATGGCCCAGTATCTGCAGGAGGGCAACCGCATAAAGGATTCAATATGAAGTCTTTTTTTTTTTTGTTTTTCCTGTTGTTCTCAGATCAGACACTGCAGGGCCTTGTCAAAACATGTCACGAGTAACAGCGTCAAAGTCTGACGTGGCTGCAGTACCACACCTGTCAATAGAATCACATGAGTCACAGTGTTCAGCAGTCAATTTTCCTGCCCACACTGGGCTGTGTACTCACTTGCAAAATAACAACAATAATACACAGATGAAGTGCTTTTTAGTACACTCATACACTTTACATATAGATATATAATGAAAAAAAATTATAGTCAGAATATATGAAAACATGTTGTGATTTCTCTGTCTGTCTATCCTATATGTGTCAAACTCAAATCCCGGGGGCCAAATACAGCCCAGCGAGCTGTTTTGTGTGGCCTATGGGAGCTTAAAAAACATTTAGTAAAGTCCTTGCAGCAGAGTTTCTTAACCTGAGAAAGTTTTTTGGTTATTACACAGCAATGAACAATATGTTTAATTTGAATAACTAATAATCAATTGCAGAAACATGTATTAGTCTGTGATGGAGTAGTTCCATCTATACCAGTGGTCCTCAACCTTCTTTGTTCCAAGGACTGGTCAGCCAGTACCACCTGTTACTACAGACTGGTACCAAGGTGCTGAGCTGATTGAAAGATCATTACATTTTCAAAATAAAACATCTATTACACTCTGTTCTATTTGTATCAGAGTCTGAATAACATTTTATTTTGAAATATTGCCAGGTTATCTTTAAATAGAGAAAGTAAATGGGTATGACTGGATTTTCTTTGACTTAGACTTAGACTTTCTTTATTGTCATTGCACAGAAACACAAGGAAACAGTGAGTCTGGCAACGAAATGTCATTGCTTGGCAACTGGAGTACACAGTACAAAGTACACAGCTTGTAGGCCATGAGTAATTACTTGAAGTATGTCTATATACACATGTATATAGGTTGTGCAGAACAGTAATTGTGCTAAATATAAACTAATGGTAAATATTCATGTAAAAAGTGTGTTGAGATAAACAATAAGGTAAATATTAATATAAACAGTATAAAGTGAGGTCAATTAGTAAAAATTAAGTCATTTTTTTTTTTTTTACTCTGTCCCACTGTGGCCCGGTACCAAATGACTTATGGACTGGTACTGGTCCGCGGACCGGGGTTTGGGGACCCCTGATCTATACAGTCTTCCATTTACAACTGGCCCTTCAAGGGGAACTGAATTGCTGATCTGGCCCCTGGTGAAAATGAGTTTGACACCCCTGCTCTATCCTATCTACAGTAATTTAATCTAAATCTTTGTAATCCAATTTTTGGAAGATGACACTTTAACAAATAATTTAATCACAGGTCAAAGGTAACATTTGTATTGAATATGTCATTTCATTTTTGTCCAAACTCGAAGATGCCCCGACCTCAGCGCTTCCCTGACAGTTTCCACCAGGCGCTCCAGTCCCTGGTGCTGTCCATCATGCCACACATCACCATCCGTCACATGGAAATCCCAGAAGAAGCCCGCTGTATTAACCTGAGCTTGGCCAATCTGATCAAGGTTTGGCTTATATGACCGTTGTGCTTGGCGGGGCGGGGGGTTCCATTTGCTGGAAGTATTAAATGAAAACCATTGAGTCAGTTCAAAAATGTAGCGGTTAGCACACCCGCCTCGGAAGCAGAGAGCAGAGAGTCCTGGGTTCGATTTCCAGAGGAACCACATGCTTGGTGCTTGCTGGGGGAAGCCTGTAAACAGCACACCTGCTGTTAACACAAGAATTTCTAAAGATCAAAACAAACTGTTTAATTGTTTAATGATTGTGTACTTTCACATATTACTCCATGCATTCACAGCATCATTTGTGACTGCAGTTTTTCTTCAGTTTGTGTGTTCACAGTGTGAGCTAACCAGGCCTTTTCTGTTTCCCCTCCCTCAGCGGTGTCTGACCTTCATGAACAGGGGCTTTGCCTTCACTCTTGTCAACCACTACATGTGTCATTTCAGTCTCAAAGATCCAAAGGTACGTGTTTTGAAGTGACACCAGCTACTGCAGGTTCTCTGCACAAAATGCCAGGTATCGGGAGCTAGATGTGCCAGAATATTTGAATGTTAATTCTCATGTGTCTGCCACATGAAAGGAGTTGTGTGTTGTTGTTTTTTTTCTGCAGTTCTAACATCAACTGTGTGCACAGTTCCTATCACTTTATCACTGCAAATTTGATTAAAAACAAATAAGCACACATGTTTTCTTTTTTTTCCTTTGTCTGAAGTGCACGTGTTTTTGTGTGTCCGTCTCCACAGGTTCTGACTGAAATGAAATTTGACTTCATCATGACCGTGTGCAACCACGAGCATTTCATCCCGCTCAATCTCCCCATGGCTTTTGGGCGCACCAAGCTTCAGAGGGTACAAGGTGAGAGTCCTTTCCTTTGAAGTCGATCTGCCCCCCCCCATCACCACCACACATTGGCCAACTCACCGCTATAATGACCGCCAACGGCTTCCTGTCCTGCCTCCAGTACCTTGATCCCATCTGTTGCGGCCAAAGAAGTTTAGTCACCACAACATGTGTTCCGCCCGCACAGCACACATTGCTGCATATGTTCCACAGTTTTATCCCAACTGCCTTTATTTCAACCCACCTTCTGTTTTTTTTTCCCCTGTGTTTATGTTTGTTTTGCTTGTGGCCAGATTTTATTTCATATGCAACGGAGATATTTGGCCCAGTAGGTAGGTGTGACGCTCAACGCACCATACCATCGCCACCGCTCGACTGCTCTGTTTTCTTGACTGCACTAGCCCGGCCACCCTGCCAGCCACCTTTCCTCATAAGGCACCCATTCACTCGGGAGAAGAATGGGATCCTTGCTCGCAATGCTAGTTCCCGAGCTAATGCTAATCTGCCTGCCAGGGCCTGAGCCCGTGTGTTGTTGATGGGAGGAGCTTGATGTGGTGTTGTTGTGGAAAACAACTCTCCTAATGCTGGATTGACGTGGTTGCTGATATTGATCGTGTAGGAGGCTGCGTTGCTCACTCACACTTCCTTTCTTGCCTCCTTCCTTCTCTCTCTGTCTCTGTTGCTCACTGGTTATGTCTCATGTCTTTAAGCTGTAGAGATAATAATCAGAAGGACATGTTTATTGCTTGTGTGAAGGAAAAACAAAATTCCTCTGAATTACTGAGCTGCCCCCAGTCTCCAAAACAACTGAACAAATATTCCCACACATTTCCTTCTGTGTGCAGTGTGTCACTTTTGTTTTTTAGGTGTGGCGTAGTTTCAGTTCTACCTGAGTGTGTATTTTGTGGGTGTATTGACCTACACAAGTTTATGTTGAAACGAGTAAGAATGAGGTCACATGTTGTGTTGTCCTTTTGATAAGATCAGGCTTACGTTTTCCAGGTGCATGTGCATTCCAAGTTCCATTTAAGGTGTCAGATTAAAAAAAAAAAAAAAAGTTCCTCACTACGTGCATCGATTTACACGACTCCCTGTCCAACACTGCACAGAGCAAAATCTGGAATTCAGCCTGACTGAAGATTACTGCCGCAACCACTTCCTGGTGGGTCTGCTGCTGAGAGAAGTGGCTGAGGCCCTGCAGCAGGGGCCCGAGGTCAGACAGCTGGCCGTGAGTGTCCTCAAGAACCTGCTGATCAAACACGCCGCCGATGACCGCTACACAGCATTCAAGGTGAGAGGTGGTTATTGTCTAACATGCAGACTCTTGGCAGCCCCTCTCAAACATTGCCACGCGCGTAGGTTTTATCGCCTACCTATCTGTCAATGTCCCAGTGCAGTACTGTGCAGTCTGCACTCTGTACCTTTAACTAAACATTATGACAAGGTCTGCTTCGATGTCAGACTTTGACCACATCAGTAATAAAATCTTCAAGAGGGAAAAGCTTCCACGTACGGCGGCCTCAAACACATGGACGCAATAAACAAACCAGCCACATATGCAAAACATCGTCTCTAAACGTGCCATAGATTTGAATGAGTTACTCTTTGCATGTATGGCGGTTAATGCCTGACAGCAAGAATTTGACTATGGTGCACAGGCGAGCCTGTGCTTTGAGAGGGTTGTCAGTTATGCAAACCAGGTGGCAACGTGAGCGACGCTGGCTGGCGTTGTTGACAGATGGTAACGAGGTTTACAACGGTCACAGTTGCCCTTTGTAATCATAACCATCATGCACCAGTGGCAACAGAGAATTCAGACATTTGGTCACCTGAAGGCATCTTTTAATTGAGTTGACTTTTTTCTCTTTAATGTCATTTAAAAAAAAATTATAAAAAAAAAAGTTTGTTTATATTTAAATGTGTAAATAATATGCAAATCATTCTTGTGGTATTACTCCACCTGTGTATGGAGTTTCCATTCTTCCCAGTGTTTCAGTTGATGGCGTTTTGTACTCGACACAGTTCAGGCTGTGTTCATCTTGGTTTTGCATGTAGTGTTTTATCTGATTAGCCGACAGCATATTGTGCACACTAACATTTGATCATTTCTTGTTGCAGAACCAGCAGGCCCGGATCTGTTTGCTGTACTTGCCACTTTTTGAGCTGCTCTACCAGAACCTGAAGCAGCTGTCTGCACAACCACACACCTCAGTCCTTGGCCTCGGCCTAAATGTGAGATCCTCTCTCCTTGCATCTGTTCCAATTTGTTTGCAGTGTACAAAATAATAGTTCACATCATGTGACCAACATTCCCTTTATTTCTGGCCTGGTCAGGGCTCCAGGGATGATCTAATATCAACTGGCACCATGGATAGCAGGAGGGTCAGCGCGGCGATTGAGAAAGACCACGGTCAGTATAAACGGAAATAGGAAATTAAGCTAAATCAATAAAACATGTGCTTTCATGTTTGCCATGTGTTGCTGTTATAATGATGTTAGTGATTGATGAAGCTGAGCAGAGATCTTCACTACACGATGCAGTACAGAGATTTTTATGACAAAATAATTACCAGCAAAATCATCTGTGCTGAAACCTAAGACTAAATAATCCGTTCACAATTATTTTTGACCTGCATGAAGCGTTTAGAGTAAACAAAACCCCCTAAAATATTTTGATCAAGCGTCTGTTTTTTTTTCCCCAGACAGTTTAGACTCCTGACTGTTTTTTTGTCTTTTAAAATCTTTTTTCTTTTTTTTTTTAACTCCAGGTCTACCAGCTCAGAATGGCCACGTGAGAAGAGAGGATTCTAGAGGCTCTCTGTTTTTGGACCCAGGCACACCAGACAGTATTGAGGTTTGACTTTGCAACAACCGTGCTATATTGTAGTGCCTTCAAGATTGTGGATTTTTAAAATGAATGTTGTATGTATGTAAATAAGCCACGGATAGATTCTAATTTGGCAATGGAATTTGAATGCAAACACTCCTTGGCTGAGTTAACACATTGAAGAAGTTGACTTTTGCTGTTTGTTCTCTTTCCATCACTTGAGCCAAGACTTTAATTCAAAACCATTTGCTCATTAGAAAAAATACACTGCATCTACAGCTACTAAATCATACCTGAAAGCAATGTCAGTAATATTGTTCTTACAGTATTTACTGAGGGAGTATGTGCTTTTAAAAATACTGATCTGATGAGTAAACAGGTTTGTCCAGAGTTTTACTGGTCCGGTTGAGGTGTTGATGACACACCTTTAAAAGGAAAAAATGTTATTTACACTTTACACTCTTTGTGTGGAAAAATCCCACTTAAAAATCACTCCAAACTGCCATCATGTTTTTTTTATCTCACTCACCTCCTGGTGGCGGTTCGGTATGATCCCCGAGAAAATCCTGATATATAATTTGGGTTACAGAAATATATATTTTTTTTTGTCTAAAAGGCTTTTTTTTTTTTTTATAAAAGGCTGTTTCAATGTTCAACTTCAAAATTTTTAAGACTACATTTTGTGATTAAATATTACCACTTAATGTTTGCTTTTCTTTGGTTTGCACTTGTTTGTTATTTGTTTTGTTTTTTTTGTGCAGCTCCAGAGACGTTGCTCCACCATGAGCGGCTGCCCTGTTCCTGCCAGTGGCAGACTGGGGCAGTATGAGATCAAAGGCCTTCTGATCTCCTTCCTGCACATTGTCAAGACTTTGTCCGAGGGTTAGTGCTGATTAATTGACCATCTGAACAATCAGGGTTATAAATAAAAGCCCAGAATATGAAATACTTGTTGTTGCTTAAGGAAGAAGGGTGTTTACATAGAGGAAGTAAATTAGTCCCTCGTCAGCAACTGTTTAAAACAACCCAGACACATTATTTTTTTACGTTGACGCCTGCATTTCTCCACAGACACTCTGATGGCCTACTGGAACAAAGTCAGCCCTCAGGACATCATGAATTTTCTCAGTTTGCTTGAGTAAGTATCAAGGCAGGGTGGCTGCTACTGTGTCATGGTGTAGACAGCGAGTGGCCATGCTGAGCATTTAGCATGACACAGATGTCCCTTTTTTTATGCATGACAAAAGAATTTCCACGACACCACCCAACTGTTTATTAAAGCATGAAGAGCCTGTGGTTAAAGCTGTTGTTTTTTTTCCCCCCGTGTTAGCATATTGTATCCAGCTCGCTTGGCAACAGTATCAAACAGCTAACAACACTGCATTTGTTATATCAACCTTTCACACAGAGTCTGTTTGACGCAGTTTCGTTACCTTGGAAAGAGATGCATTAGCAGGTAAGTTTGAAAAACACTGGTGTAACCGCGATACTTGAACAGAAGGTGGTGAACTCTACGCTCAGTTATTACTGCATGCAGTCACAAATAACTCGTGTTAATTAATCGGTCAGATAATTGATTCAAATGCTATTGGATTTTAATCACACTGGCAAAATGATGCAAACTGTACATCCGATAATTCCACTGTCCCTTCATTTACCTACTGTTGCTCTGACTGTTGTGATTTAGGCACACATGGCCAGCATGTATTTGTGCAGGCTTCACTTTCAGGTGAGGCATCCGGCCTCATCCTTTAGACCAGTCCCAGTTATAAATCCATCAACATTAGGTAGTGAAATATTAGCTAGATTAATTCTTGATCAATTATTTGGAACAAAATAGTCACAAATAAAAACATGCGTGAGACTGACATGCTCTTATTTCTCTTTCTTTTCCTTTATCAAACATTTACTTGAGTTGTCTTGTCTGGACTAATTGTGATTAGATGCCCACAGCTAGATAGATGGATAGATAGATAGTTATTTTTAACTATTATCTATTTTTAACTACTAACTATTAACTTTATTAATCCCTCGGCAGTTCGCTTCGGGAAATTTAGAAACTTTACCAACTGATTTAATCAGATTAAACATTTATTAGTTTGGCAGCCCTCACCTTGCAGCCCTCTGCGTAACTGTTCTGTGCGAGTTATTGACATATATGGTGTTCGCAGCTTGACTTGGGCGTTGGCCTTTTTTTTTTCTTTTTTTTTCTTTTTTACTGCTTATCATTGTTTGTTGTTAACACCAAAGTGGCTTCTCTCTTGTTGTGGATGTGGTATTTATGCAGGAGTCAGGAGGTCTGCGTGTCCAAGCTGTTCAGCTCAGACAGGAAATCTCAGACCATGCCCGCCATGCGTTGCAATCGAGCCAGTCTCATGCAGACCAAAATTCATCAGTTCAGCACTATGGAAGCCTCTCTCACACTCAACATGGGTAACCGCAAGCATATTATAGATCCGGTTTCTTTGATTTTACCAGCAAGTATTATTGTAAAAAGGCAAATGGGGAAATGTACACAGAGCCATCTGCATAAAAGCATGCCATCAAATCAACATAAATATCATGTGCTGAACTAATCTGGTAACAATATTTTAGTTTTACGTTTCTTCTGTGCCTGTAAAGCTGGTTGAGATGCAGGTTGGTGTTTTTTCAAATGTATTTTCAAAAGATTATTTTTACCTGAATATTGCACTCTATTTCAGCTGTGTTTAGTAGTAGTAGTAATAGGTAGTAAAATAATACACGACTGTGGGCTCGCTACATCGGGTCATCAAGTCCTCTCAGAGCAAATGTATTTACACTTGCATTAGTTCTGGTCATTATAATTATGGTCTGGAAGGCCATTAGTTACAGAGTCCATATGGCTTTTGGTCTTTGGTCTGCACATAATACACACACAGCCAGTCCTCCTATACAACTCTTAATGTAATTAGTGCAAGTTTCCATTTGTGGGTTCTGTCGGCTTTTATGGTAACTCCCGAGATGTGTGTGTTCTAGGATCGGGGCCTTCAGAAGCAGAAATCCACCAACAAGCTCTGCTGGAGGCCAACATCTCCACTGAAGTCTGCCTGAGCATCCTGGATGTGCTGTCACTCTTCACCCAGTGCTTTAAGGTCAGGACACTACTGTTCACTCTGGGTGGATACCAAAGATGTGCATTGTAGTTTTTTCTAGATGCATGCGCGTGTGTGTGTGTGTGTCAGACCCAGCTCCTGGACAGCGACGGCCACAACACCCTGATGAAGAAGGTGTTCGACATTTATCTGACCTTCCTTAAAGTCAGCCAATCAGAATCTGCACTGAGGCACGTCTTCGCTGCTCTGAGGGCTTTCATCAACAAGGTAGGACAGAAACCTGGAAGTACAGGACTGAGTTCTGAGTCCCAGTGGGATATACATGTATGTTAATCCTAAATACACTTGACCAATGCAAACTGATGCTCATAATTTATCGAAGTTGTCGACGTGTTGCAATTTCCCTTAAATGCTATGATGCATGTTCGTAAAATGTCTTGAGAGACCCTTACACATTTGGATTCATAGTCAAATTGAATACTTTTACTGTGTTAAAGCCAAGGCCATAGTGAAAGTTCTTTGTCATTTTTATATAAATAGGTTCCACTCCTGGGTGGATGTAAAGTGTATTGTTCTGATAAGAATGTCTGTGTAGGTTCTCAGTCGTCCAGGTCATCTTGTACAAAAATAGTTACACTTAGGGCAACTGGACAGAATGGGTTTCTTGAAGACGTTTCACCTCTCATCCAAGAGGCTTCTTTGGTTCTGACTGTTCTGACCTCTTGAATAAGAGGTGAAACGTCTTCGAGAAACCTACCTCGTCCAGTTGCCCCTCGATGTACAGTAACTATTTTTGGTTCTGATAAGAATAAGAGTGTCCCAGTATTTTCCCAGACTTGACCCTAAACGTTTGGCTCTCCCCTCAGTTCCCCTCAGTGCTGTTTAAAGGTCGCGTGACCCTGTGTGAGGCCCTGTGCTGCGAGGTGCTCAAGTGCTGCGTGTCTAAGTTGGGGTCCCTACGGGCTGAGGCCTCCGCCCTTCTCTACCTGCTGATGAGAAATAACTACGAGTACACCAAGAGAAAGACGTTCCTGCGAACACACCTGCAGGTACAGTTTTGGTGATTGTGAAGCAGAGGCTCATGGGGGGGAAAAAAAGACCCACTCATTTGTTGAACTGCTGCAACAACGATTCCAAACCTTGAGCCTTAAGCCTACAATTTCAATTCCTGAATGACTTTTTCAGTGATTCCCTCTTCTTCTGCCTGATCGCAACACCATGTCACCATGTTGACATGGATTGTTCCCAAGACAAATTATACAGCCCGACAAAGTCATGTCCACCTTTTTCTTCTGTCCCTCTCTTGTGAAGCTATCTTTTGCACAGGCACTGTGGACCTACATAACCTCTGGGGGGTTGACATTTGAAAACAACCTTTTTAATGCAGCCCAACATTCTGAGAATCATTATATCTGACGAAAGGTCACTCTGAAGGGTGACTTCCTCGTCAGAGTATCAGAGAATTTCTTTCAATCATCAATTCATAATTTTCTTTCCAATGGAGATACTAATTAATCACTGTTTATTTACCTAAACCGCACCACATCACAGAGCTCATTGTACTGCATTCACTTTGGCAATCAGCATTTCTCTTTCCAAGAGTACTGTTGGAATGTGGTGCAACGGGAAGTTGGCAGCATGGAGGTGCAGCACCTGCAACAGCCACCACACGCTATCCTGTCAAAACGTCTAAAATGTTCTGACACATCGTTGACACATCGAGGCCAAGAAAGTGGTTGCTATTCATGGACTTATGCAAAAGACATGACAATGACAAAGCACCTGGTCGCATTCAACCTACGGGTTTCAAACTAGTGCACTAACATGAACTTTGACTCAGTAAACACACAGGTTGTTCTATTGTAGCGGTATCAGATGGTAGTTCAGATTACCATCAGTTCTGACTGCACTATTGTCATCAGATGAGTATGAGTTTTCTCTCTTTACCACCTCTAGATTATAATTGCAGTCAGCCAGCTGATCTCGGATGTGGCGCTGACTGGCAGTTCCAGATTTCAGGAGTCCCTATCCATCATTAACAACTTTGCAAACAGCGACAAGGCCATGAAGGTACAGTGTCAGTCAAAAGTTTGTAATGCAGTTCGTCATATGTCAAGTCTCAAGAAATGAGCCTTCTTACATCAGACACTGCATTGCTATATTTTATAGTTTGAGAACATGAACTATATCATCTCGTGCTAATACAGTTATTATTATTATTTCGGAAAAGTGCAGTAATTTGTATGCATGCCGTTTGTTTGTGTCCATAGATTACATTGAGTGGCATAGTTAATAGTCATTTCACTGGGGGCCACATTAGCAATACAGTTCCACTTGAAGGGCCAGTTGTAAATGGAAAACTGTGCAGACCAGGGGTTTCCAACCCCTGGTCTGCAGACCGGAACCAGTCCATAAGTCATTTGGTACTGAGCCGCAGTGGAACACAGTAAAAAAAAAAAAAAAGCACTTAATTTTTAATAATTTACCTCAATCAAAGAAAGTCCAGTCATATCCATTTACTTTCATCATTTAAAGATAATCTGGCAATATTTTAAAATAATAGGTCGTTGAGACTCGAACAGAATAGAGTCTAAAAAATGTTTTATTTTGAGAATTTTATTTTTTACATTTTAATTTCTCAGGTTAAGAAACTCTGCCACGGGCCACACAAAACAGCTTGGCGTGCTGCATTTGGCTCCCGGGCCTTGAGTTTGACACATACTGTATGTTTTAGGGCATATTTATAAAGTGGGATTACTGTAGTACATAGCAGTATTAAAGTCAAATAACATACATAGTTGTTAATGCAAACATCTATGTACTGTATTGTATAGTCATGGCAGCTTTGCTCCTATCTGTGTATTATAGTCAACAGCATTCCCCTCAGAAGTCAAGGGTCTTACCAAGAGGATCCGCACAGTGCTGATGGCCACAGCACAGATGAGAGAGCATGAAAAAGACCCTGAGATGCTGCTGGACCTGCAGTACAGTCTGGCCCGGTCTTACGCCAGCACCCCAGAGCTGAGGCGGACGTGGCTGGACAGCATGGCCAGAGCACACCTGAAGAACGGGGATCTATCTGAGGTAGCTACTCAGACCTTGCAGTCACAAACACAATGATTCCCTTGTGTGTGAGCAAACATGTTTACTTAATCAAAATAACAAAGTTGTTTTCTCTTTAAGCACACAGTGACATATTACTCTCTCCTCATCTACCTGCATGTACAATGAACCATAAAACCATGTAGCTGACAAAACAAAACACTGTAACAACCCACTGTTTCCACAATTAAGTCTGGTGACGCCTCATGTTTTGTTTTTTTTTGATTATCATAACATGACATAACAAACTGGCATGCATCAGTGGGTTTTTGTTTTCATATGACACTGTTTACTTTTTGCTTCTGGCATGTAAACAATATTTATTTTCATCCTGCTTCTGCATGAACTGCACAAAAGGGAAAAGCATGTTTATATTCGTATAAAATAATAAAAAATACATCTAGAATATACAGAACCTTGTTTTATTTTGTCCTGGTGTAATGGTTAAACCATGTGATTCGGCCTCAGCCGGGGTGGTCAAGTTAATGGTTTGCGTGAGCTCAAGTTGATTTATTTCCTAATTCAGTTTTATTGAACAGTTGGGAATAATTTTGACAAACAGGAAGGGCTAAAATGAAAGGGAACATATGTTCTCTCCATTCGTTTTTTTTTTTTTTTTGGTTGAACTTTTTTTTCCTCATTTTAGTACAAAAAGCAATGTGCTTTGCATATTGTCTCGCCACTTTTTTTTTGAGAGCAGAAAATATTCTGGCTTTAATCTAGGCTTAAATCAGTCGTTGTTTTTGCCTGTTCATGCCTTAGCACTGACTAAATCACTGTGTTGTCTGTTAATTTTTCTACACAGGCAGCCATGTGCTACGTTCACGTCGCTGCTTTGGTTGCAGAATACCTACACAGGAAAAGTAAGAACCTTACCCACTCACACGCTACTAATTACAGTGTATGTAATATTAGTATATACCGTATGTAGTATATGTATAGTATATGTTTTTTTTTTTTTTACTTACAATATATTCACTGTTGTGTGTTGTTTAGTTTAGTTTTATTGTTTCTACACCCCACCAACATGTACATACTGTATCTGGGCAGATGTCTCTAGTTAGATGCTGTAAAAAAAAGGGAGAACGGTGGTTTCATATAATGTATTAATAAATGTTTCTGCAATTGAATATTATTTGTTGTTTGTAAGTTACAAAAATAGTGTACATTACTCAATGTAATAAAAAAAATGTAATATCCCGCGGGTCACACAAAATGACCAGGTGGGCCACATTTGGCCCACGGGCCTTGAGTTGGACACATGTGATTTAGATAATTGGATGTAGACCAGCTCTTGTTACATGCCTATGTCGACATGGCTATGTCTATGGCTCCAGTTCAGCATCTGTCATTAAACTGATGATTTAGCAGAAGCATATTGTTTCAGACGGAGCAGCAAACATAAAAATGAATCACTCGTGTAATTTCTTCTCCTGCGTCTCGTCATCAGAGCTGTTCCCCAGTGGCCTCGCAGCTTTCAAGAAGATCACTGCAAATATCGACGAGGAAGCGGCCATGAAAGAAGACACTGGAATGCAAGATGTATACTACACTGAGGTCTGACTCATCATGTAAACAGCACTGTGGCCGCGTTCGGGCCGCGACTGCAGCACTGCTGACTGTCCTCCAATGTAAACTGTGCCTGTTTTAGGAGATCCTGGTTGAACACCTGGAGGTCTGCGTGGAGGCGCTGTGGAAGTCGGAACGCTATGAGCTCATCACGCACATTGCCAAACTCGTCATTCCCATTTATGAGAAGCGCCATGAATATGAGGTACTGCCACAACTAGAGTTGCACTGACACTGATACTTCATTTAAATACTCGTACTCCAACAAGTACATCAACAACGTCAGCAGTTTATTCTTATATACTCTATATATCTTGGTGTTACCTGAAATGTCTATATATAAAAAGAAATCACTGATAAAAAAATTGTTTCCAACTAATTATTATTCTTTTTAGAGCTGGGGAAAAAGCTCTGTTTTATTCTAATATTTTTGGTTATTTTTCACCCTAGAAAATATATAAAAATTATTTCAATGAAATGTTTCTCCTTAGTTTCCTCACTGTGGTTATAGGTTAAGCCCAAGCACAGTGTACAGAGCTGTATATTACCAGTGATATAACAACGACTTCCAGTTCATGGCATATTTATTAAAAGAAAAAACATCATAAGGAAGTATTGGTACTGGTACTACAACACTGCATAAGGATACTAAGCCAAATTCCTTATGTGTTCCAGCAGGTCAGGACTTGCTGTGTGTAAGAACGATTGACAAAAGCATAAACCTGTTTTTCATTTTCTGTTGCCAGTTGAATAAGCTCATCTTTGTTACTTGTAAGGCAGCATGAGAAAAGTGGTACATCTCACAGTTACAACTGTGGCTATAGAAGAAAACCATTCACATCACTGTGTATACTCTGGACAAAATAGGACTTGATAGGACATGTCTTTTTTTTCTGTGTATATGTGATGCATTGAGCTATGTGACAGTTATCATCATTCATGCAAGGAACAGTTCATTAACTGAAATTATAATCACACATACCCAAGGGTTTCTGTGAGCTGCTCGTCTCTGGAGTCACAGTGACCCGTGTTTAGGCCATGATCTTTTTTTCCAGAAACTCAGCCGACTGTACGACACTCTTCACCGGGCCTATAACAAGATCATGGAGGTGATACAGTCAGGCCGCAGACTGCTGGGAACCTTCTTCAGAGTGGCTTTTTATGGACAGGTACGATGTATGCACTCAACCAGCCTTTGGTGAATTCCTTTTCCAACGGCCTGCTAATGATGTTATGATCTAAGGTTATTTCTGTGCACACCTAATGGTAGCATACATTAGTGAGCACCTGACTGAGATTATATTACATGACGTTACTGTTTATGTTCCGCTGGTGAAATCACCAGTGCTTCTTGTTTCTGACTTGATAAAATATGTCTCCTTTTACACAGGGCTTGTTTGAGGAGGAGGATGGAAAGGAATACATTTATAAAGAGCCAAAACTAACAGGGCTGTCAGAAATCTCGCAGCGGTTGCTGGCGCTCTACGGGGAAAAGTTTGGGCCAGAAAATGTCAGGATTATCCAGGACTCGAACAAGGTACAGTATTTGGGATTAAAAATGAATATCACAATAAATGATTTGGTGGTAACAGTCCTATTTTTCTGTTTAAGCAAACAATTTTTATATGTACTGTAGGTATTTTTAGGGCTGTAAAAATTAAAGCATTAATCACAAATAATCACTTTAAATGATCAAATTCAAATATAACGCCTCTGTAGAATAAGGTGCATCCAATAATTTCACCCTCAATACACGATTATTGACAGTGGAATTCTTATTTATTTATATTGTTATTTGCACAGATTGCAGGAAAACATTTATTTTTAAGCTCAAGCCTTTTTTATTCCAATGACACCATGATTTTTTTTTAATCTCATCTAACCGTCAGTCATTTGTTTCTCAACATTTGCCTAGTTTTATTTTCCAAATTCTGTTCCTCAAGACACGCAGGGTTCTATTTTCATTGGCTGTGCAGTTGACACACGTGTAACCCGGGCCGCTTCTTTGCCCACAGGTCAACCCCAAAGACCTCGACCAGAAGTTTGCCTACGTCCAGGTGACCTTTGTAAAGCCATACTTTGAGGAGAAGGAGGCACCAGAGACGAAGAGCGACTTTGAAAAAAACCACAACATCAGTCGTTTCGTGTTCGAGACCCCGTACACGCTTTCGGGCAAAAAGCACGGCGGTGTTGAGGAGCAGTGCAAGAGGCGAACGGTGCTAACAAGTATGCAAATAACATTATGCACAAAAACAACTAGGAGATGGTTTAAAAAAAAAGAAATATATGTGCAGCTCTGGAAGGTATGACCACTATTGCCACCGTTATTTATGGGTTCAATTCCCAGAGACACCACATCTCTAATGGCACCTCTCGTGGCCACCTGTGTCGGTTGCAAACACTCACATTGTACATTTCTCCATTGTGGGAGGGTTAAGGGACTCAATTATTATTATTATTAATTTTATTATTTAATATAAATATAAATATGTTTAACTTAAACACTGTATAATACAACAGTGCAAGCTGCTTGTACAAACCATTTTTCCTCATTTTCAAATGACCAACTATGGCCACTTAACCCTAACAATAGACATAAATGGTTGTTTGTGTGAGATCATTTTTTTTCCCCAGACATATCCATGGCCCCTAAGATGGATTATGGACACACAAAAATTCATATTTTGAACCTTGTGCTCTTCCCCTCTGTGTAACGTTTCTACATTACTCACCTCTTATAAAATGTTTTCATATTGTTTGTTTCTTGTTGTTTGTCAAGCCACAAACACTGTGCTGTTTTTGGCTTGATTTGAAGGAACACATCATCATTGACACATCATCATTGACTCATCATCATTCTTTCTTTTTGCTAACACCTAGCCAATCCATGTCGTTTTTTTATTTGAATTTTTAGAATATCTTCCAGGTGAATTGCGATCTTATAGTTCTGTTTAGACTTGCTGTGATTCCAACAGCCTTAAACCAAACTCTGAATCACTCGTTCCCTGTAGCAACTGTTATGTAAAACATGTAGGTTGTATTGTTTTCTTGGTCTGTAATGGACATGCTATAACATACTCCAAGTTGAAGTGTTATATGAAAATAAGTTCTCCAAAATCTGGATGTCATGAATTAAGTAAATAGCATCGATTAGTGTGGCTTTCAGATATTCAGATTGTAATAGAGAGTGAGCGGTCTGTAGGTAAAGGTTAATGGAAGCAGACAGCCTCTCAGCCTTCTAATCAAATTGAATGCATTACCTAATGTCTATTGTGAGTTTTTTTTTACATTTGACTTTAAAAATGACTTTTATGAGGGGTCTGTCAACTCTGGTTGTACTCTATACGTCGGCACAGAGTTACTGCGGGCAGTGGTGGCTTAAGGATGTAGACTTGGGTCCAGAAGGTTCCAGTCCACCAGCTGCCAAGTTGCCACTGAGGTGCTCTGAGCATGGCACCGTCCCCAGACACTGCTCCCCGGTCCCTAAAGCTGCCCACTGTTCACTTTGGTGATGGGTTAAAAGCAGAGGTCACATTAGGTTGTGTGCAGTGGTGTCACAATGACAAGTAGTTCAATCACAGATCAATCCCATTTGTTTACAAGTTTACATAAAAAAGATTAAATGTAACATCTTTCATGATGACCGTGCTGCTCATTAATTGTGGCCCTTCATCTCCAGCTGCCTACGCCTTCCCGTACGTGAAGAAGCGAGTGGAGGTGGTGGGAGAGAAGCAGGTGGAGCTAAAGCCTGTGGACGTGGCCATAGATGAAATGAAGGCACGTACCGTGGAGTTGACCAAACTCTGTTCAAACCAGGAAGTGGACATGATCCAGCTCCAGCTCAAGCTGCAGGGCTGCGTGTCTGTGCAGGTAAGAGTTTGGTTTGGCACGGAACCAAAATTCCGTGAGTCACCAGAAGAAAGTGTGCCAAGACTTTCCTTGGTGTTTAAAAAAAATAAGCCCTGATCTGTCACCGTTTTTGTGCAGGTAAATGCAGGTCCTATGGCCTATGCCAGAGCATTCCTTGATGACAGTAAGAGCAACCAGCCGGGGAACAGGAGAGTAAAGGATCTCAAGGATATCTTTAGGTACGCTCTCGCATCTCAACCACCACTGCTTGATTTGAACTTGAGTAATGTGTGCGTTTCCTCTTGCAGGCGCTTTGTTGAAGCCTGTAGCATGGCGCTTGACATAAACGAGCGTCTGATCAAGGAAGACCAGTTTGAGTATCACGAGGGCTTGAAGACAAACTTCAAGGACATGGTCAAAGAGCTCTCGGAAATCATCCATGAACAGGTGATCAAATTGGGCTGCGAAATATTGTGTACCTCAAATGCTTCAAACACAAACCAGTGGTTTTTGTACGCTCATGGTGAATCACTTAAGCCAGGCTTATTGACTTAATATTGACTTTAAAAACCACATTTTTAAAATGAGCCCCAAGTGATGAAAATCACACACATTTCTATCAGTTTCACAATGTTTTAAACATATTCATATATATATATTCCTCTAATTTGGTGCGTTTCTATGACTAGTATACCTCCTCTAATTTGGTGCGTTTCTATGACTGGTGTACATTAAAATGACTTATCTGACCTTTCCTTTCCTTACCATCAGTTGAGTAATATTGTTGACTCACGCATTTCTGCCTTTGTCTGGTTGTGCATACAAGACTTGTGACCTTTTAAAAAGCTAACAAGTTTGATTTTCTTTTTCCACTCTGCTGACGTTTAGCTTTAAGGCATCAACAGGTAATGCGATCCATAAGTGTATTGTTGTCCAGTGAATTTGTGTTCTACTGCACTTCTGTAGACAGACACTGTACGAAATCCAAAGGCTTGCAGAACAGGAACATTAAAATCTACCTCAGCCCAGGAGAAGGCAACAGCCAAAAGAGATACTTGTTCACAGATCAGTATAACAGTTTAAAAGCATTGATTACATTAAAGAGTCCATGGTAATATGACACCTTTTCAGTGTTTCATGCATGTCTTTGATTATAAACCACATTGTTGGACCGACCTGTCATAGCTGTGTGTGCGTATGTGTTGCCTCACATCCTTTTTGTTTTTCTTTCTCACATTCAGATCTACCAGGAAGACATGATGCGCTCACTGTTGCAAAATTCACTTAACGTGTTTCGGGCCATCAGTGGGACAACCACTGAATTGGGTTGATCATGTGCTCCCCTCCAGCCCCAGACCTTGATGGGATGATAATGGGGCAGCTCCCACTTTGCAGTCCTACAGATTATTTTAATTGCCTGCATACAGAGTTGGCCACAGCGCTGGAATGACAGTTTTATTCTTAAAATCTACCACAGTTACATCTGCTCAAGCAGGTACTGTGAATGTGTTTTGCTGAGTCTTGAAATGATCCACTTTCTCTCAGCCTTGGGGACAAATTGCAGGATTGTCCGTCCTTCAAAGAAGGATGGCGAGAGGGAACTGTTGCTCTTTGGTTGTGTTCTGTCTTCTCTCTGCACTGTCCTCCTCAGATCTACGCAGGATGGAGCATTGACTCCACGTTGAATTTTCCACACCGTTATTTGGTTTCTTACATATCAAGTTTCCGCTACCAGGGGGACAGATATATAAGTGGAAAGCACTGGAACTGTTTGGCAAATGGGGGATAATTGTTAATAGCCTGGCAGTCTGTAGCAACCAACAAAGTCATGATAACAGTCTAACAGTAGAACTGACTGAAGCTGCTCCAGCCAACATCATAAACACAGTAATCCTGACAAAGCTGATGTCAGTAATTGCCATTAAATTCCAGCCTGTCAACAATCATTGATATAGACATCTCATATTGTCTGCAGACATTTTAAGTAATTTTAACGACATGCACTGATTTTTTTTTTCTTTACAGTGTGATTAAACATGTTTTTTTTTTCTTTTTTTAAACTTTGGTGCAGATCCAGTGCCTTTTAAAAGCAATTTCCCTTTTTAACTGAGGCACCCCAATGTTGGTTATTTAGTTTTTCACAAGTGCTACACTGAAATTAGCAGATGGATGAAAAAAATATTTAACGCGTAAATAAATGTAAATAATTTGCTGTAAAATGATTTGTGTACCCCTATATGTTTGTATGTACTGTATGTATTTAAATTTGTAATATTTTGGACTATGTTCAATCCCAAGAATCCCTAGACAAGTTTTTTTTTCTTTTCACTGCATTGTATACTGCAGTGCTGCTGCTTATTGAGACTTACTTTGTAAAGCCTTTTTCAATAAAACCTGAAAAACTAGGCCTGACAACCAAGTGCCACTCCTTGTTATATAATGCCTCTGCTCTATGGAAATTGGACTTTGCAGACCTGCCTGTCACACTTGATCTATAAAACTCCAGGGCAATGCTTGGAGATTTGTTATTATTACACGCTGCACCATATACAACAAATGTCCATGGAATATTTATAAAACAAGGCATCACACATGGCTGAGGGAGTGCCCCAAAACAAGTTAGGACATGGTCTTAGATAAAGTCTGACAATCAAGATTAGAATGTATTTGTTGCCCATATGTCTCGCATACTTATAGTAATATATAAATATAGCAATATAGTAAAAAAAAAAGGATGTTAAATATTGCCTTGTTGGCTTACAAAGAGCACCTTGTTAACAACAAATACTATTTCACATAAAACAAACGAATGAAGCAGGTTAAAGTAGGACAACCAGTATATCCAGTGCATCCATGTTTCTGTGTATTTCCACCCTTTTTATTGCTACGTAAAGTCATTACCACAGATAATCAGCTTAATGATTCACAGGCTCATTTGGATCCTGGCAACTTCCTGTAGAAATGGAATAAAGAGCTACTTATGCTTTAAGATCGCAGTCATGCAAATGTGTAAACTGGTGCAGCCTTTAAAATAATTGCTTTTGCCTACACACATTACCAAAATATTCCCAACAGTCTGACTTTTTTTTTTACCAAAGATTATTATTACTATTATTGTTGTCGTTATCATAATAATTTGCTTTAAGAATCCATTTTATATATATATATATATACACACACACACACACACACACACACTTGTGAGAGGTCACATTTCGTTGTGTTAAGTGGCGTGCTGTGATACGTAATTCACATTTACTATAACGAAAAAATACATCAGTGATTATTATTATTGAAAATGCTTGTGTTGACAAAACTGTCAGTAAAATTAGTCCAGTAAACAGTTCGTTCCGCAGTTTTCCATGTGAGCCTGTGATTTTTCCGGCCAAGCTCTTCAGCCTCTGTGAGGGGAGTGATGAATTCACCCGTGGCTTTCCAGTCATTCCCTTTCTCACTGTTACAGTTACAGCTTCCCGCCCACTTCTGCACTAACACTGTCCCTTTGCTCGTTCTCCGTGACGTCAGCAAAGCAAAACATCGAGGCTGGGATTCAGAAACCCTTATCGTTGCCCTCCATTACATTGGTTAGGTCACGAAACGTTGGAATATTTTCTTGCCTTTTTCAGCGTTTGTCGTTTTTCTTTTAACAGAATCATTTTTAAAGCATGTAAGATTGTCGCCTGTGAGGAAAATGACTGTTGCTGTCCTCACTTTCATCGCTTTTTTAACCGTTTTCCATTGCAATGCAGGTAATAACTAATATAGTTCACTATTTCTGTGATTGATTTGATTTAAGTGTTTAAAAAATATAACTTAAGGTAAAAGCAAAAACGAACTAACCATGTCTATGACATATAGCTTTAATATAAACATATGGTTTAAATGCGTTCAACAGATTTATTAAAACAACCAATTTCCCAACAATTTATTTCAACTACAATTGAATGCCCCCTGGTGGTCTAAAGATAAATAAGTACATGAATAAGTACATTAAGGCGACGAAATGACGGGTCGGTAAAGTGTGAGTTTAATGACCGAACTGACTCGATTTCAAGTTTAGATTTTGAGGAAATGTTGTCCCATTGTTAGAGTGACATTCAAACTTTTGTCAATTTAACTTGTCAATTTAGTCGGTGGATAAACAATATTCTCCATGTTTTAACCGTTCTGCGTTTCTGATTTCTGTTTACTCCTGTCCTAGTGCGATATTTATGTTACAAAAATAGCAACAATTGTTGGAAGGAAACACATTATCTTCGTTTATCATCCTGCAGTCCGACTCCATCCAGTGGCAAATTGTCCACATATTTTCTGCAATTGTTTATAAACACAAGAGCAGTAAACTCCCTAAAATCTTTTCCTGTGTGGATAGAGCTGTAACCAGTGTATGAATGTTCAGGTCTTCGAGTGAAGCGGGGTTATAGCCTCGTTTTTATATACCTTACACACTAGAAACAACACAAACTATTCTGTAATATCAAACATATCCGTGCTAGAGTAAAGTGTTTCGCCAGATCTGTACTGTTTTCAGACCAACGGCGACGTTTGTGTCGTATGTACAGTATATTTATCCTATTTCGCTGGCAAAAATAAATAAATAAATAAATAAAAAGACTTGGAAAAGACAGATAAGTTTCACAATTCCTGCATATAAACTGTTTCTTTGTGAATGTGATTTACAAAATAGCATGGACATTTAGTAGGTATAAACTGTTTATAAAATGTATTTAATGACGCTGAAAGGAATTTAACCTTCCAAGTTACTAATGGTAAAGGTTGAAGTTTATGATATATCATCTGTATAAGGTGAACACGGATCCATTGGAACCATTTTAAAAGCACATCGATTGAAAAACATATATGTATGAACTTGTCCGGTGACACCACTTGTTCAATCTGATCCAACAGATAACCTTCCTCCACCGGAAGAATTTCACTATGAGTGGACTAACCCCATCACTCTGAAACTGATTTGGAAGGAGCCCAGAAATCCACCAGATAGCTGTGAGATCCTATATGAGGTCAAATCTTTACTGGATAACTCGACCAAGGTAAATAAACAATCAGTGTTAACAACTAAAATCATATGCATTGTACTTTTAATTATGTACATACCAATACCAAGTACCACGATTGATACTAGTTTAGGTTGCATGTCAATAACTATGCAATGAACTTGAAGGCTGTGTTACATATACAGGTATCACAGATATGTTGGTGTCAGCGTGATGTGCAGAGTTTTTGGATAATTTCAGGTTTTAATTTCTTGTTATTAACTTAAAGCTAATTCAAAAGGATTCAGATCTTTCTTATATGAAACAGAAAATATCCAAAGGGACACTGTCATCACATTAGACAACGCATCAATTAAATGATGAAATAAACAAAAATAATAAAAGTAGACACCACAGCTAGCTGTGAGCAGAGCGTTTGCACCACGTTAGCTCGTTTCAGTTGAAGACACTGTCACCTCCAACTCAAACTTAAACTGAATAGCATTTTTCTATGTTTCAAAACATCAACACACAGCTTTGATCAAATTATTTTCAACAAAAAGAGACTAATAAAAATAAACACTGCATCAATTCACACTGCTGTTTAACTAAGAAGTGACATTAGCATATTTAGCACTAAAACACAGCTTCAGGTGTTTTATTAAATTGCTCGTATCATATCAGAACAAATTACGATAAGTCCTGCTCCTGTGACTCGCTGATGTTAGAATACTTCCAAACTGCATTGTTGACCCACTTAAATAACCTACTATATTAGAATACTAACTATAATTCTAACTAGGAGTAATAATCATTTAAAATATATTATATAATAACAATTAGAAATGTACTGAAGAAAAAGCAAACTGTTGTCAGTACTAAAGCTTGTTGTGTTTTTTTTTTTCCTAGCGTACACCGGAGACATATTTGGTATACACCTGTCCTAGAGAAAATCTGAACATTGATCACTGGACTTACACCATTACTGCTGTGGGCACTAAAAACTGTAGTGCTTGGAAGAGCATTACACCTGTGACTGTAAATGTGAGCAGTCAGATGCCACAAGGTAAGCGCTAAAACGGAGGAAACAGAAATCATTTGCACATTTCTGTAAGTCATTTGGTTGCCTTTTTGGTCTTATTAACATATTTTTTAACATAATTTGGTTTTGTTTAAAATCTATATATATTTTTGCACATTGACCTCCTTCTACAATACATCTTGCTTATTTGTATTTTTTATTGTTAAGTTGCCCTGTCGAAGGAGAGGCTCACCATTACATGCTTTTTTTGCATACAGTTGACCTTGTGAAGGACTTCAGATGTGCCATTGATCAGGATGGAATAAACTGCTCTTGGATCCCTGTACAAGTGTTACAGAACCTGTCCTACTGGTAAGAAATTACACACTAATTACAGGCAATTAGTGTGTGATCACAATCACCTGTCTTGGGTGGGTCTATAGAGTGGAACCTTGGTTTTGAAATTTGTTCCTGAAATGAAAAGTTTGAAAACTGAAACAATTTTCTCCAAAGGAATCATGTAAAATGGAATAATCCGTTCCTGATGACTGCTAATTCAAACTATTGAATAAAGAATAAAGCTATAAATAGGAAAGGCAATTTCATTCATTATTACTGGAGCTGAGGAGTCATGATTGTGCAATGTTGGCTTCGCTTACTTTCAAATGATTGCCTTTAAATATCTTTGCTGGCCAACTGTTTTTTCTTGATCCACATCAATAGCAACTTTTCCACTTCTTCTAATGTCTGAGATCTTTGCTTGGTGATCACAGTCACTCCTTTGACAACCTTAGCTTCTTTTATTGCTTCCTTGTTCTTAATGATGGCACAAATCAACGACCATGCTAGGCCATACTGTAAAGGCAGATCTGAAACACGAGCGTTGTTCTCATGCTTTCCTATAATCTCTCTTCACTTCTGTTGTTGTTCTCACTACTTTTCTTTCCCATCGTGATTTATGAAATAAAAAAAATTAGAAGAAATAGAACAGTGCAAGAAATACCGGCAAAATCAGACAACAGTTCTTAGCATGTGTATTCCGAGTGTATCCCACACACTCACTCAGTGGTCACTTGCTGCTTGTATGGTATTGTATCTTGTTCAGCAACCTAGTTATGGTACGACAACTGGGGCAATTTTTGGTTAGAAATTTTGTTCATGAACCGAATTGTTCGAAAAGGGTGACGTTCGACAACAGAGGTTCCACTGTTTACCTCTCTCCCTCACTCTGTCAGTCTGTTCAGTGTGCTCGTGCCCTGTGCCATGCCTCGTAGTTTGTTCCTTGTTCCTCTAGCCAAGTGAGTTTTTGTTATTTTGCACTTTGGAAGTAAACCTGCTGCACCTGAAGAAAGTCTCCCTTGTAATAAATTTGGGTCCTCCTTGCTGTCACACTCAGTCACACTCTAACACTCAATTTGAGCCTAATGGGGAATAGGTATTTATTTTATAAAAATAAAATACTGATAATGATGGATTCATATTTGTCGATCATTAAGTAAGTGATTAATCATCACCTCTCTGTTTTGTCTTTGTAGTAGCTGCAGTTCTTCCGTCTGTGAACCGGTGTGCAATCAACCCTACAGCATTGAAAACAGGACAGGCTGTGACATTGACACTGATTCACCTCTAAGTGGCTGTTATTTCGAAGTGAGAAGTGCAAGTGAAGTCACCATTGTGAAACCTCACATTGGTAGGTTATATTGTCACATTTTTTAATATTAAGAACAACGTAGCACCCTTTTTTATCTGTTAAAATATCCACAGAATTGCATATACCAGAGCTGAATGTCACAGAAGAAGGACATAAGCTCAAACTGACCTGGACTGCAAAAGACGTTGGAAGAGATTGTCGGTTTTTTGTGTTGTGCTACACAGAGTGCGATAGGAACGAAGTGAGTGTTTCTTTATGCCACCTGGGTTGATGCACTTCCAATTCCCCACACCAAAAAAAAAAAACAAAAACAAATGAAAATGCTACAAGCTTTGTAATAAAGGCAGCACATTTAATCATGCTCAAATGACCAGACCACACATGTAACACACACATATAAAGCTTGCATGTATTTATTAATTAAAATTTCAGGTTTTTATTTTAGATTTTACAAAGAAAATATTTATTGACATGTATTTATTGTGTGGAAAAATCCCACTGTTTGAATTGAGGCACTGTTGTGACTGATTGAATGTTGTGTTTTCTCCTGTAACTAGATGACTGTGATTATACTTTTCAAGGAAGGCCTTAACATCACAGGGGTGACCTACGAAATGTTTTACAACCAAAGATGCCAATACACCTTTCGTACCAGAGTCTTGACTAATTCATTTTGTCCACCATACGCCAGCAAGTGGAGCACAGCTGTCACATATGGTAACTAATATCTGACCACAGTACTCACCTAAAGTATTGTAAAATGGACAATAGTGTTGGGAGAAAGCAAAAGTACATTCTTACGTTAGAAAAGCATTGACGTTATTTAATCCGGTTGTTTTGTAACATACAAGGGTGGAAAGCCATCATCCACACCAACACCCTGGTTATTTTTCTGTAGTCAAAATAATCCCACACGTCTGATATAATGTGCATAACTCTTCTTCTGCCTTTTTTCCCCACTTGGTCACATCCTTTTTCTGTAACTTGCACAGACAAAAACCAGAGCAACACACGCAGAAACACATAGGTGTTGTGTGTAATTTTTTTTGCTCCGCCTAATATCACAGTTAATTGTGATAGAATAAGCGTGACATCTCTGCATTCTTTACACATGTAATGAATTCATCATTACAACTAAATACAGCACTGTACCTTCAGCAAAAAAAGCTGGTTTAAAGATGCTTTTGGTAGGTATAATAAATATGTGTGTATTTGTGTGTGTGTTTTTGTCTTTTCAGGGATCAACAAGCTTCCGGACAGAACTCTGACTGTAGTTACCATCATCATCCCTATCATTCTGTTTGTCAGCGTCATTCTGTCCTGCTACTGCTTCAAGAAGTATGTAGCTAACAAGCAACTGAATGTCGTACTGCATATCATACCGCAAAAGTGGGACAAATCAAATATGTATCAAATATTTAACTAATAGACACTTACACTTAACATAAGGCATCTTCTTGGCCTTTATTGCTTCAAAACTCTACTAAACCTTGTTTCAGATTCAGTAATTCCTTTGGAAAATTTAATATTCTCAAGTGTCTCTGACTTTTCAACACATAAGTACAGTTTGCCACAATTGTGTGCAGTGGTTTGCTGTGTCACAGTGACAAGTAATTAACTTTCTCACTTTGTTTGTTCTTCTCATCTTCTATACCAAGTCACAATGCTGTTTTAATTAAGAGGTTAATAAGTTTAATAAGTTGTGTTGTCTTATTATATTTTTATTATTATTATTTAAGGAATCAGTGAATTACTTAACGGTAATACATAGGGTCTAGCCCTGTAAAACAACCCATAGGTGACCAAAGTACTTTACTTCATATAAAGTTAAAATTTTGTAAATTAGTTTGAAAGTTAAAAATATTCTTGTCGCCCTCTGGCGGTTTATCTTCCTTACAACAGCTTAAGTGTTTTGGTGTTTGTCCGTGGTCTACCAAGTATCAGTCAGTCTTATCAGTGTAAAATAAAGTCTAAAAAAAAGAAGACGAAATCATTGCGTAAATTAAATGCAACTACACATTTTTTGGTCTATTAAATTTAGTTTTACAATTTGAGTAGATGTAATTTTTACTGTTCGTGGTGTTTTCAGTCACATAGCTGATTTTGTGTCATTGTACTTTGCAGGCACAGTGAGATACTTTGCCCCAACACACCAGACCCATCAGCCATATTCAAGGAACTTATGGAACTTAACGGAAACAAAGAATATAAGGTATATTTCTGAGGCAATTCAAATATTTTAATTTAAACTTTCTCTCTCTGCACAAACTTGACACCACTGTACTCTTCTTTTTTTATAGTCAGAAGCAAAGAGACTGTACAGGCCAATGCCAGAAGTCATTGAAAAATGCAAAATTTCCATCATCGCTGACAACAGCGATAACAAGGTTTACTGACATTCCAGCTTTGGAGCAATGTTCTGCCATTGAAACATTCCTGCAGAATGTTTACTCTTTGGTGCATTAACACCAGACTGAACTAATTAGGGTATGGCAGGAAAAACTCCATGTCTGTAACTGAAGTTAACTGGACTCCATCAACCCCAAAATAAGGAATAAAGCACTTGGCTTTGTGACTTTACATGGCTGTGATGGGGTGGACTGCTGGGCCGTCTGTGGACTGATGGGTTTGGTGCCCGTTTCCCGTGTGACCTTGAAAAGGCTTATGCAGTAGAAGATGAGTAAATTAATGTCTTTTTGTGAAAAAGTGAATTACCTCATTTTGACTCATTGTATGGCATTGGCGGGTTAGCGCTGCTCCTGTGTTGTTGTTATCTTCTTTAACAGTCTGATGTCTGCTGTGGTCCCTCATGATCAGATTAACGGGCTGGGGCTGTTTCGACGCACCACTGTCTTTGTCTTCTGGACTTGCATACCTATGTATACCTACAACTGCTTACTCACAAAAGTGACTGTGATGTTGCCTGAAAAGTGTAACCGACGATGTTCATTATTTTGACTTAAATACACATTTTTTATATAATAAAGTAAAACTGACACCTTTGTGGAGTTGTTAGCTATGTAATGTAACTCCTACTCCATACCTTGTCAGGCCTGTTGATATTATGTGACTGTTGACACACTGTCACCAGTGCTATTACATCTCACTCCCTTTACCTCTATAAGTTTGTATTACATCACTTTGCAATTTTTTTTCTCTTACAAAAACTGTTTCTCTGACGGCTCTCACCGTTTTGGTTAGCTGGATGTGATAGAGGTTTGGCCCGTCTCCACCCCTCATAATAGTAATAATAATAAGAGGAATCAAATGACATAAAATATATCATTAAAATAAAACAAGTGTTACCATGTTAGATCTGAGCAAATATTTAGAAAGTCTTGACTGCTTATACAAAAATATGAATATGTTGAAACGTATATATCAGTTCCATACAATAGGGGGCGCTGAATCATATCGGTCACCGCACTGTTGGTGTTTTCCAAGAGTAGAAAATAACTGTTGGAGATACGAAATAGCACTTTTACAAATACGCCTAAAATTCTTGAAAAAGTCTTGGTTGACCTTTCCCAAACAGTAGTTTCGTTCTTATGCTGTATTTACAACAATAGCAATAGAGGCGAAAAAAATCTTGAAACGCCCATATCGCCTATATCGTAATATATATTACTTGGTCATTTTTAAACCACAGCCTCATTCCCGCACGCCGAGAGTAATTTTCGCACATTTCTCAATCCGGTCCTAGCGCTAACGCACAGTAGTAAAACAATCCATTAAAAGTCTCACTTTTTCAGAGAAATGAGAGTTACACCCCATGACTAGCTATTCCGGTCCCGATAAACCGTACAGTCGGTACCCACACATGGCAATGATAAGCTTGTCCGCCATTGTTCATAAACTTCTCTGCTTACTTCAGTGAAAATAAAGTCGTTGCTAATTGGACTTTGTGAAGTTCGGTTTTTCCATCTTCCTTCGCCTCAGACGCTTATCCGCCTCAATGCGCCGCTGCGGCCTAAATCGTTTGCTTCTGCACCATTTACATTGGCCGCGTAAGCGGAGCTGCCGCTCACCAAGCAGTTTTGGTGTGAATGGTGTGAAAGTGTAGGGCTGGTGCCCAGTGAAGCGAGTGAATGAGTGTTATGTAGCGCACAGTCCCACACTTCCAGTTTATTAAATACAAATAAAACTGTCCATCCATTTTCATCCGCTTATCCGTTACCGGGTCACGGGGGCAGCAGTCGCCACCCAAATCACACTGCACCGTACCAACCCCCCTGAACCTTCCTCCAGGTGGTGAGTCCACTGGAAGGTACCAACCGCCCTAACCGGGATTCGAATTTGCCCAGGAGGTGAACCCTGGGGTTCCACACAAATGACAGAGACATTGTCTCTGGGCCATAAAACTGTCCTATGAGTCAATGATCGATGGCATTTAAGAGGAACCTGAGCTTCCCTTTTGTCTCAGAGCAACTGCTTCATATCTATTTCATAATTTCATGTGGTTTTTCTTAGTCAGGTTTAAGGCTCTGGTGTTTTTGTACTGCTTTGAGATTATTTTGGGGGAGAAGGCAGAAGGGTGGGGTTAAATTGCTTTGACTCAATCTGCTAAACACCCCATGTTTCTTGTTACGCCACGTCCCTATGTGAAGATAAGCACCAACATTTGAGTCAACTCTTCTCGTTGACTTTGGAGGACCGCTACGCCGTAGTACGCAAAAATCTAAACTCCAGCTGGACTGTTCCGTAGAAAACACGCCTACTAGGCAGAAACGAAACAAGGAGAAGGAAATACACGAAGAAAACGTTGGAAAGCGGAGAATCCTTACATACAAAAACATGACGGCGGTGTTTAAAATTTTAGCCGTTTTGGTTTTAGGTCACTTCTTTTTAATTGCGGACTCACTAACAGGTAAAAACAAACACATGACATACAAATATTTGCTTTATTTCCCGTGTTTTTGTGAAAGCGATTTTACTGGAAACATTTCCTCACTCCTATGGAGCTTCCCCGCAATGACGTGGTATAACTTAAGCCTTTTTAAAGTACTAAGGTTGGATATAATTATTTATTTGTTTATTCATTATTAATATTTTAGTTAGTCTGTTCTTGGTTTTAAAATACAGTGTTTTAAATACGTGTTATAAACATCGGTTAAAGATGGACCTTGTCGATAGAACACATAATAACCGCAATCTATACATTTAATCTCTCTTTAAATTATTAGTCCCTCTAAAAATAAAATCAATATTACACATATTAATTTATTATTGTGCCGAAAACACTTTAATTTAACTGTCAGTGGGAGAGATAGACAAAGATAGATAGATAGAATATAGAATAAAAAATGTTCTCCCTGTCCCTCCCTCTTAAATGCCTGTTTAAATGCATGTTTGAAAAAAAATAGATACACGTATCTATCATTTGAGTATACAGTATGTGTTGCCTTGGACTGAGTAAAAGGATAATGATCTTGTTAAAAACGCATTCTCTTTGCATATAGCTAACAGCATACAGCTTTGTTTTATGATTTTCATATTGGTGGATAGAAGAATATTGCCACAGGTGGTTTGAGGTGTAAAAAGTTTGGGAACCACTGCTTTAAGGTTGTTGCTGTGTGAGAAAACATACAAACCCCAAACATCTGTATTAGAGATCTAAAATCTTCTCATATTCCTTTTTCTTTCTTCTGTCTTCAGCTCTTATCAGATTCTAAGTCCTGTAGCATCCCCACAGCATTTTACTCCCACCTCTATTGCTGTGGAGACAGGGGACAGTCAAATGAAAATACATAAAGAAAACATGTATTAATTAAGGCGCTGCTGTTGTCTGAACTTTTACATGTACATTTATGTCTTCTTTTTACCTCTTCTCCTCTAAAGGTGATGTCTTACTCCCACAAAATATAAGTGTTAGCTGGACCAATGATTTTAAGCCTCTGTTTACCTGGGTCCGACCACAGCAGCTAATGACAAACTGCAGCTATGATGGGGAGTTATACGTCAGGAACAACAAGGAGACATACACTGTTGTAAGTTTGCCTATGAAGATTATTACCATCTGTATGATTTGATCAAATTTGTATAATATGAACTGCTTGGGTTTTTTATCAGTTGATTTGGGGAAACATATAAAGTATGTACTAAGTACTATAGGATTCAAATAGCTATGGAAGCTTTATCAAAAAAGATGATATGATAATATGAAATAAAGGGGATTGAAAAGTTTAGATTTAGTTTGGAAATGCAGCATCACTTTTTGATGATATCACAATGATTTTTTCCCCCAGTACGATTCACTATTTTGTTTGTTATGACATTTTTGACGTCAGTAAGTGGCTAGTTGTCATAGTGGTTAACAACATTTAAAAGAAATAGATTCTTCAGAAATGTATGTTTTGAAATTGAACAACATGTGGTAACTGGTAGTCAACAGGGGAGATGTCTGCATGATTAGTAGTCCTACATAGTACAGCAGTCATCGTTTGCAAAAACTTCCTTTGATGTAGAAATGATAAATTATTAAATTAAATTACAACCCATTAGTGCTATGTTCTCTCTACTGAGAGACGTGCTCTGTGGCAGATAGACCTAAAAGCAGGACCATAGGAGATGGAGAAAGTTAAGTACACAAAGTTAAGTAGCAGGCCCAATCTGCTACAGCCAGAACTTTGGATGGGTTTGACTTCATCTGGCTATGTTTAAAGATAAGACCCAAAAAACTGACTGAATCAACGTGGACTTACGCCGATTGATCAAAAGTTAATTTATTCTCTTCTAACAAAATCCTTACATGACTTAGGTGATCCTCCAGATTCCGTGAATAAGTTAAAATATCGGCCAAATAGACAAATACAAAGCAGATGATAATGTTCCGCAACACATTGTTGACCAAAGCCCGGAAAACAGCCAAGGCATTGTTCAACCTGAATGGCAAAATAGTCAAAATGCCCAAGTGGCGTACTCTATTGAGAAACGAGTGCTGCCCTAAAAGGGATTGACAAAAATATTACAAATACAAGACAACACTTTTTTTGGTAAACTATCTGGTTGTTCTAAATGAGGTATTATGTTTTTTTTTCTTCTGGTGTATTCAGAACCCCAATGACGACCAAGTCCAAATTCTCTACACAGTAATGGAGGGAGGATCTCTGCGGTTTGTTCTTAAAACTGTCTGTGGCAAGAGGAAAATTGAGGCTGAATATAATGTCTCCTACCCAGGTAGTCTATATTATTCAAGTCTAAAAATATTTGGTTGACATGATAACTTGTTGCTTTTGTATTCACACTGCTTTATTCTTGCAGAGGTGCTAAAGAACTTGCTGTGCTATGTGTACTCCTCTACAAATACTTACTGCTCTTGGGACATAGCTAACCCCGAGGCAGAATTTAAATTTTTCTACAGGTATGTTTTTTTTTGTTTTTTGTTTTTTGTTTTTTTTGTATTTTTGACTTCTGTCTGTTGGATATTTCTCCCAACAGAGAGTTAGAGATAGAAAGATAGTCAGTTAGAAAGATAATCCATGGTTACCTCCATGCCAAAGATGTTTACTGTGGTCTGTTCACGCATGATACAAAAATCTGGGATTAGGAGCTAGTTTAAAGTGGAATAATCTCAGTATGAGAAAATATTGGCAGAGTCTTGATTGATCACACCAGGCAATCCTCTGTGACCATTTGGGAATGAAGTACACTCCTAAATATACAGAAAAGGCATTCAGTGGAACTAATCACCTTATTTTCTCCTTGGGTTTTTAAGGTTACTGCTTGAGGATGGCACCGCATCCATCTACGACCCATTGCCTCCATTACAAGAGTGCAGCTCGTACAACTACACAGGTGGACTCAGAACCGGCTGCGATATTCGCACTAAAGTCACACAAGGCATCACCATTTTATTGAATGGCACGGCAAATGGAACGTTTTTCAGAAACACCTACCATAAAACACTAAAAGATGATGGTGAGTATGGGATGGACCCACTGGTGTTAGTGTTGTGTCTACACTGTTGGGGGAAAAAAGAGTGTTGAAATATGTCTTACACATCCTCATTTACTGTCATTGGTAAGGAGAAGTTGGTATCTGACCTTGTGTGTGTGTGTGTGTTTACAATTCTCAGGAAATATTAAAGAAATACTGCTCTAACATGCTTGTGGCTTCCATTTATAGTGAGACTGCCTCCACTTAAATGGACAGTAAAAAAGACTGGAAACAAATTCATCATCAGCTGGGTGCCACCTGATATTGAATATAATTTTGGAATGTACGAAATTGACTACACCGAGTGTAATAAAACAAGGGTAAGTGATGTCATACTTATATTTACTTATATTTAAGTGATGTCATACTTATATGCATATATATGTGTGTGTGTGTGTATATATATATATATAAAACAAACGATGATTGCAATTATGGTTGGAGTCCAAACAACTTGCTTTGTTTTTGTTGTGTCGATGCAAATCCTTGAAAAGTAGCAAAAGCCTAAAGCTAATAGAGCAAATTTAGTAGTTTGTTAGTAACCAGCTGCCTAAATGAAAAATATTTAGCTGGTGTTAGTTTTATTTTTCTCACATGCACAGGGGGTTAATTTGATGGTAAATCCAATTCAAATATTTGCCGCACAGCAACATAATACCAACAGCTCTGCCACAAAGACACATCAGGTCACACATGCCGAGTCAAAACAGAAAAGTGATGAAATGCCCAACTCAGTGTCAGAAACGTCTTCACTAAAACAAACAAGATGTCGATGTTAATGCCATATAGCTTTCACAAAAATCTTTGGCAGTTTTTGTAGTATACCTTGTTTTTGCCTCACTCAGCGATTTTCATGCTGGCTTCGTGATTTTTCCTGCAGTTACAGCAATTTCTTTAAATAGCTATAGTTTAGGCCATTTAATGACTACATTCATGCTCTCATTGGGATGATCTGTCACCATTTTGAGGATACCTTATTGTCCTTAATTGCCATCAACAAGTACTCTTTATTCAGAATATAATAATGTCATTTCAGGTTATTCGCTGCCCATAAAACTAACAAACCTGGATTTACTTGACTGGAAATAGTCTTTTTACTGTGCAGATTTACTAATAGATGTAGCTAAGACTAAACTACATTTGTGAAGCTACAGCTTGGGTGTGCACCCATAGAGCTCAAGTTGGTTACAATCCAATACAGTATAATAATTCTTTTTTTTTTTCACAGGTAAAACAAATTGAACATTTGATCAGTACCTCCACTGAGCTGGAAATTGAACCTCACTGTGAATACCGCATGACAATCAGAGCCAATTACACAAAGTTTTGGACCCCACCCAGTGAGGAAAAGTATTTTGGTATGATCTTTGTCTTTCTGTGTTTTTATGCCTTTAGAATTTAAAGTCTACCGTTTTAAAAATGACCAACTTTTATAGGAGTAAGAAATGAGAAGCAAACAAAATATTATGGAAACACAAAATGTCTTAAAAAGTAACTTAATTATGATTCATTCTACAATGATTCTTCCATCTGAGTTTGATATGTAACTTTCCTTTATTAATCTTGAGGACAAACAAAATTTATTTAATTCCTCCATTTTTGTAGTTGAATAATTTGCTTCCACCCAGAGGCTAAGAACGGTACTGTGACAATTAGAAATGCACTTGGTTGAACAGGATGTGTTTTTTTCTGGAAGAACTGGCTTAGAGAGTAGTCCTTACTTTACTGATGTTTTCAGCTGCAGATGCAGACATCGTTCAAAATGCGTTGGTGTTTGCAGCTGTCATCATCCCCTTGATCTTTGTAGTGTTGGCATTCGTTTCTCTCATTTATTTCAAGAGGTGAGTGTGAGTTTGTTTCCGCGTGGCTCCTGGTGTGGAGTATGTTCCCCTGTTTTTCCTCTCATATTTGACCTCTGTTGTGCAGGATCCAGGAATTTATTTTCCCCAAGATACCAGTTCCCCGAGATCTTCTCACAGATATTTTGGACAAGGTAAGGATGGCACTTTGACTCTGCAGTAGTAAACTTGTTGTTATTGTTGAGCTACTACAAAGGTTGGTATCTTACCTGTAAACATGTCGATGTGGCACAGACTCCAACATGAACCCACATGTTTGAAAGATTTGGATTTCAAAGTCTGTACCTGCTTCTGACAGTTTGGTTCTGTGTGTGTTGTTAAATAACATTATTGATCAGTAAATGGTAACCAGTCTGCATTCTGCTGGTGAAGCTGCAGGATGTTTAAAATGTGATCATGACAGTTTGATCTAAACATTACAATACATAGGAGTCTAAGGAAAAGTGTCATTTATCATTACTTTTATACAACGTCTAAAAACTTTTTTTTTATTGTTTCTTAGAGTACTGTCTCCAAAATATACATTCCAATAGTGGAACCAGAGGAGAACTGCAACATTATGTTAGTGATGGATTCCCAAACCAAAAACCCACGTTGATATTCCGCAGCTGCAGCGCAGACCCTGTCCTAAAACATTCCATCCCTATCACCAATAACAAAAGTGAATTTGAAGGCTTCAGACATTACAGACAACCCCCTTTTCAGCATCAAGAGTAGCCGCTATTATTCTACATTGGATATGTTTAATATTTATGGAAAGAATGATGTGGAAGAATATATTACTAGGTTTTCCTATTTGTGTCCAAAATTTGTGTTTTTATTCTGTACCAGACAAAATGAAGACCCCAGCCTATTGATGATTGTTACTCTGTTTGAATGAATGTGTTTCTCTTTTACGGTCTTTGTTCCTGAAACGTTGCACAAACTCCAACTTTGTCCACTGGGATTGGCTTCAGTTGCCCTGTGGATTTTTAAAAGGAATTCTCAGAAGTTTTACCTTGCTGACTAAGATGAAAATCCTTGAGGACATCTCCTTCTTCCTCTTTCATTTCTTTGTTGATCGACTATATTACCTTTTCCTCTTATTGATTCCATTGATACCCTTTAATGTCTTTCTCTCACTTTCTGTCTGACAGTTTCACCACCTCCAGAACTTTTTTTGCACTGAAAAATGTTTTTAATATTAGTCATACATCAGGGCCATTGTCCTACTGGTGAAAAAGTCAGGGTCCACACGGACGCCTCTTTGATGCTATCTTTATGGTATCTAAATGTTATACAGTCATAGGATTAATGACAAAAATAGTCAAGAGTCAATAACTGTTCTTTTTGTTTACTGTTTTTATGCCTTGTCTTTTTTTTTAAATGTATGAGCCTTTTTTATTTCATTCTGTACAACATAAGTTCCCTGGTCAAGAAACAGGAAATCTGTTGTTTTACATTTTGCACACTGTAAATAAATAAAATTGAAAGTCCTAAAACTTTTCATTTTAATTTTGGCATTAAATACTTGCTGCTTTGCACTTTGCAGACTTACGATCATAAAACTTTGAATGTCTGAAAACTTTACTGAATGTAAAATATTGGTGGATATCAGAAAATGTTGCCTCTGACATCAGGTAGTGGCTGAAATCGGTTACGTTCTCGCTCTCTCTCTGAGTGAACTTGATAGGTGGGACCCAAAAGCAGGATAACTAAACGAACAGAAATTCAGTGAACATCCAAAAACTCCGCAAGAAGCAAAAAAACAGAGTTACTAAGTTACTACACAGACAACAAATCGTGGAGGTACGGTAACTAGATAAGCTAATTGATTTACCACTTATTACGTAGGGAAACGCTATAGCGCTGGTTCCTTGGCAAGGTGACATTTAAATACACCTGGCTCCTGATGACGAAATCAGAGGCAGGTGTGTGACGCCCATCAACGGGAGGAGAAATGCGCAGTCTAACGTCTTTGTAAGTGGGCAAACATACACATTTCTTCCCCTCGTTGTGTGCATGAGTACATATAGGTGATTATGTTAATGTGATCAAATCAATAACTTGAAATGTGTGCATTTTTAATTGTAATATTTTATACAAGAATACATGGAAAAGCCACATTCGTCCTGTCTTTGACTTAGAGACACTATATTGACACAATGATGCAATCGTGGTGTAACAACGCAAGACTCCGTCTTTAGGGAGAATAGTTAATAATGATATCCGATAGAGCATTGTAAACAACGATTTGCTTTCACCTTTCCTGTCTCTGATATATGGGGGGAAAACATCACGCCTAGCGCAATTGTGTATCCCCCGCACTGTTAATTGTTTATTTATTTTCGAATTGCCTGTCAAAAATGGGGGTATTCTTTCATACACAATAATTATTTTATTGTAAAATCCTCTAACCTCATTGTAGTCCAATATTAATCCTTTTACAAACTCCTTTTGTTTGTGATTAAAAAAGCATATTTTCTTTAAACGTGTCCTTGTTTTGTAGTTTCAGAATAAATGTCTGAATTATAACTATACGCAGTTGAACCGTCTGTAGTTTCAGAGACGTTTACTTTGAAAACCAAAGTTGCACACTTAGTTAGTTGTAAAACACTGATTCGACTGACATCAAGACTCCCGTTACCGCCGCGCGCAGAAACAGCACCATCTAGTGGCCAGCAGTGGTAACGCAAACATGTCGGCTCATAGTGGTCCTGATGCTGCAGGGATGCGGAGGGGAGCTGTGTTGAGAGGATGTACAGTCACTAAACAGTACCAGGCACAAATTCTGTCGGCGCAGTCTCTGTGGCGCAATGGAATAGCGCGCTGGACTTCTAATCCAGAGGCTCCGGGTTCGAGTCCCGGCAGAGATGGGTCACTCTGTGTTCCGCAATGCAGGCTTGCGGTTATTTTTCGCTCGTCGTTACGTTTTACACAGAGATGTTATTTTGAACGTTGTACAGCAAAGAGAGAGCTGCGGAATTTTAGTGATGATGAGAAAGAGTACAAACAACTCCACCATTCGTCGCTCGTATTCATACTTCTTGGTTCTGATCAAAAATCAACATTTTGAAACAATTCAAGATAATTCGTTAAAAAACATTTAAATTATCCAAAAACCATTTTGTTTAAAACAATGCGGTATTTTGGGTTTGCTATTTTTATACTGGCTAATGTTTATCGTTGCCTTACCAATGAGGATAAGCTATGGATTTTGGCTAAAAAGAAATATGAAGATTTGGAATGTACATTTTAATACCAGACCTCTGGTGTAAAATGTTCTCACAGTTCTCAAATTAAGGCGATAAATGAAGACAAAATAACATTTAAATAAAAAGTCTCAGAAGTATGTCTTTATTTTAAGACTGTTCAGATCAGTGCCATCATGTATTATGTGTTTATTGACCCTTTACGTCACAGGATCTGGGGAAACGTAAACATGCCTTCAAGGTTTATTAAAATATCTATGTTAGACAATGAAAGACATCTATTTGGTGATTTCTATATTCTAACACATATGACTTTCTTTCCAAGTTCTAAGACAATAGTTGCAATACTAGTGTTTTCCAAGTTCTAAGACAATAGTTGCAATACCAGTGTTTTTAGATAGATGTATAGATGGATAGATAGATAGATAGATAGATAGATAGATAGATAGATAGATAGATAGATGGATGGATGAATGGATAGATAGATGATTCAATTTTTTACGAAATCAGAATGTGCTCTTTTTATATCCCCTTGTGTGTATTTTAAAATATTTCGTCCTCTTGTTATGAATGAGCTCTTTCAATGTCGCTTTAGGCCCTGACCACTGGAGGGCGCTGGAATACCACTATTCTATGAATGGCTTCCGTTTGGAGCAAACCGTTCAGCGTCACTGCTTCGATCCATTAAACTGTAAGCAGTAAGCAAACCCGGGAATGTGTTTTGCGTTGCTGTGTTATGCTGTGCTTTAAAAAAAATAAAAAAAATAATTTTCAGTAGGAGCCATCGACATTGAAAAAAAAAAAAAATTTTCAGTAGGAGTAGCCATCGACATTTAAGTGACATCATCACGAAAATATTCCAGAACATTTCTTTTTTCTTCTTCGTCTCAAATTTGACACTTCTTTAATTCACTAAACACTTAATGTCAGTTGTCGTGAAAGTGAACGTTAACATTTTACAACACAAAAGTGACGTCAATTGACGTCACTGTACAGCTAAGTATGTCTGGCACAATGTTCTTTAAGCGTCACTTTAAACTTTTAATTAATTTTATTACCCTTTGCCATCGACGGAGAGAGAGAGAGAGAGAGAGCAAGGAATGCGCCGGTAATGAGAATATGATGTCAAGTCAGAGAGATTACAGTTAGTACCGGAACGTGCCATTTTTGTACCGAAATTGTAGGAATTCCTAAATTCCACATCATCGACAACACGCTGCAGTAATAGACTGCTGCGAAGGAAATAGATAATATTTGAATCGTTTTTAGTTTTGTTCGATCATCTATATGGGTCACAAAATGCAAATTAACATACAAAACTGTAATATTTCCTCATATCCATTTTTCCCTCCTGACCCATGTTCAGAGCAACAAACATATTACACTGAACACAATACCGGAAACAGTGCCGAATTCCCTTGTGTGCTTCCATACTTGGTCACTAAAGCAGATTCTTATTCATAAATGCACAGTTACGAATTTACATATCAAAATTTCCCCTTGAGCTAAATTAAGCTGATCTAAATACTTTTAAGTTAGCTTTATTTTGAAGACTGTGACCGGATGTGTGGTTTCCCGTCACCACAGCGAGATCGACGCCTGCTCATAGTAAGCGTAGACCTTCAGTAGAAGAAAACCGGGCTGTTGCCGTGAGCCAGAGAGTAGAGCCGGAGAAGAAAGGAGAGAAAAGACAAGAGTGAAATGATTTAAACGCTGAGAGACAGAGAGAGGGGACAACAGAGAGGAGGCGTAAGAGAGTCAGGAGGAATATTTGACTCTGTGTGATTTTTGTTCCAGTCAGGAAACTCCCGCTTTTCATGCCCATGTCCTCACGGAGGTCTGAGCCCATAATAACGGACTTAGTGGTCGGCTGAACCATGCAGAGGCTGCTGCTGCTGCTCAGTTTGCTGCTGCTCACTTTTCAAACTGGTGAGTAATATATTAATATATATATGCGCGTGTGTGTTTTCACGTGATTACATATGATTTCACATGAGTCTCAGCAGCGGTATGTGTCGGTTCGTGTGTGACGGCGCGGCTCCGCACCGCAGTAATGGATCATCACACCTCTTTAAACGCCGCTACGTGTGATGCCGTTCCGCGCACACGCGTCTGTGCGCGCGCTCCAAATGACCTTTTCCATAAATGACATCCAGAGCTCCGGTGGAGCCCGTCGTGTGAACTAGTGTAGCGATGAGAGGCTGTGGACGTGAGGGGAATGACAGTGATTGAGCGGCGCTGCTCTACACGGATCCAGCTGCAGCAGAAACATGTGAATGGCGTGTCACTCAGCGTGAGCTCTGCCACCAGACCCTGGAGTGATCCTGGAGTCAGAGGCAACACATCTCTCTCTCTTCTGTCTCACCCTCCTCGCCTTCTCATCCCTCCTCATCATTTTCTGTCTGTCCTTTTCTCCTCACCCCTCTCACACACTCACCCCTCTCCCCTTCGCTTCAGTTGCTGCCTCCCACCTGAGCACCTACTGTAGTTCCCATTCTCTGCCTTCCCATGCACAAAGAGGCGTGTGCAGCAGCATCACTTGTGCTTATGCATCTGTTCCCCCTCCATACCTGTGGGCTTCCAGGTAAACCGTTGGCTTATGGTATTCACAGCCAGACCTGAGTTGCTAGGAGACAGGAGGTTGAGGGCTGAGGGAGGAAAAAGAGGGAGAAGAGAATCGTTTTATTTCTTTCCACTGCTACCTGTTTGATGGAATCACAGACAGGCGTCCTCTTAATTCCACATCCTTCACATCTCTTTCATTGTCTACCTCGGCTGACCAATAGTGTGGACAGTCCCTGCCTGCTCCAGCACTCCACTAAAGGTAGGGGGCGTGTTCTGTTGAAGGGAAGCAAAGGTATAGAAAAGGATGATGTCACCGTGTCTGCCGGGCTTTGTTAAGCTCAGCCTGGCTCGGTGTGCACAGCACCCGCCCACCGCCCATCGCCACAGTGGCATGACATCTTCACACAAGCGCGCCACAATCTGCATCCAGTCAGGAGCAGATTCCTTTCAAACATCAGAGTGACAGACGCTTCGAGGAACCGGCGCATGACACAGTGTGACAGCTGTGACACACATGTACAGCCTCTGCTCTCTCTCCACCGAGATCCCTTTGTCTTCGTCCAATCGCATAAAAACACACGAGGACACAGGCACCTACAGATGTTCATATGGACACACACACACACACACAGGCGTCCATTTGGTTGTCTGCAGTTACCTCCGTTCAATCTGCCGTGTCCCTCAAACGCAAACAAACGCGCTTTTCGAAGGCTGTCAACCGCATGAGATGAGCAGACTGTTAATGCTGCTGCGAGACATAAAACAGTAGTAGACGTGGGGTCTCAGTGGTTGCACTAAATGGCTTTTTGCATTGGGCCGTGAAAACATTAGCGGAGTTTGCAGCATCCAGCGGAGGCTGGAGTGAATATCTCATCAAGAGAGATAACGCCGTGGGCACCCTTTTCTTTAAGAGACTCTTATCTCTTCATTAGACTAGTAAAACAGTATTTCATGGCCCGCAATTTGCACACATGTAATTGCCTGCTAGTGCTAATGATTGCATGGCTATTAGTCGAGAGGCTAATTAAAGCTGTGCTGGATCAGAATGTTTCTTGAAGTTATTTAGATTCACTGATACGCCCGCGAGACTAGAGTCGAGCGTCTACTAGCTGAGACGGCAGCACCGAAGGGATTGATTTAGGATCCTGGCCTTGTATCAACATACCAACGTGGTAATAAGTCCTAAACAAGTGCCACCGTTAACGCAGCTGTTAAACGTTAGTGCTTAATCAATCACTGCAAACACACGCCTTTTAAGTTCTTTAACGAGCGGGAGAGGCACCAGGTCTGACTTGCAGCACTGCACCTTTAGCCCAGACGGGAGTTTTGAAACGCTGACTCGGACAAAGGCTCCAGTGCAGGTGTGCCGTTTATCCGCCCAGTGTCCTTTTGAGCAGACTGAGGGTACGAGCTGATGGAGCTGCTGCTGCCGTTCTGACTGTACGCTCTGAATCACATGGTCGAGCCGTGAATCACAGACCTCAGACGGATTCCTGCCTGGTGCTCATCCAGGGAAACATTCACATGTTGGGAAAGTCAGACACATTTGGGAGGCTTTCACAGGCAAAGAAGAGGAGGTTGCCCTCCAGGCCCCTTTTGTTGAACAGCCGGATTGCTGCTCTGCACGGTCGTATGTGTAATGTAAATGACTCAAAGTGGGCCGTAATTGTTCGAATAAAAATGAAGAATTAGAAAAAAGACTCATAAAGAAGCCAATGTGGCGCTAAAAAAACGCTCTGCTGATTTATAGCATCTCAAGCTTTGGTGCCAGTAATAATCTGTGACATTTTGGTTAAAATAAATTCCCTACTTTTTCCACTCTTTGTTATCCGGATTCTCATGCACACTGAGACGAGGAAGTGGTTGAATTTACTGGAAGATGCGAAAAACCCAATGTCCATACGGATAAACTGAAGAAGTGAGTAGCCTGAGCTAATCTCATACAGCCTGTCTGTCCCATTAAGCTCATGCAGATGTGGAGAATTTAAAAATGTAACGTTCATTACTGGAGTATGCTGAAGACCCAGTGGTCGCTAATACCCGGGTGTGATTTTCTGAGCAGTAATAAAGAGGGGAAAAAATGACATATAATGACGTTTACGTTCGTCCGTACAACGATTTCTCTACAGTTGCATGACTGATCAGCCATGTTGCGGTGCTCTAGCGAACGCTCCTTTCTCTCAGGCTCAGGGTTCAGATCTGTAGTGACATACGTAGCGAGGCAGAAGTCTGTTTCTAATTTCTGACCCCGCACGTGAGATACGACTCCAAAAGCATCCTGCAAATTCTGGTCGTATTTTTTTTTTCTTTTCTTCTACCGCATTACGAGATAAAGCTTCTTTACCCGAAACATCCCTAATTGACATCAGCCACTGAAAGTGATTAGTGATGCAGCTGTAACGTATCGAGCTCAGTCTGGGACCACAGCCCGTAATGTTATAATGTACGTCCACGCCTGTTGTTCCCCATTGGGGCTCCATCTGATAAGCGAAATTCTTGGCATTTCTGTCCCCGCGGGTGTTTGTCAACATGTGACACGTTGACGACCTCTCTCGGTGGATGTGTTTGTTTAAAGGCATTCTTCTGGACACGAGTGTCTCCAAAGGATTTCTGAAGTGGTGCGTGGAAGAACAAAGGAGCACGCATGGCCGGCTTGAAGATGATTTGGAAGTGAACAAATGAAATTAGTGTCTGGACAATTCACTATGCAGTATGTGGTCAAATAGATCGATAGGCAGCCTCCTTTGGTTACATGAATGCTTCTTAAGTTACTGCTGGCAGTTTGAAGGCTGATATAATATAATTGAGTTTGATGAGCTGGAGGGCAGCGGGGGGTAGTTCTAAAAAAAAAAAAAAAACCCAGCCCTTAAAATATTTGTAAACCTACAGGAACACTTCATCTCGTCTGACTGAATCTATCGACCTTTGTTTTTTTCCCCCAAACTGCACGGGTACATTCTGCAGCGAGGACCAATTTGGAGTGATGAAGGGAGCCGAGGGGAGGAGGTGGAGGAGGGAGGGATAGAGAGAGTGGGCCAGAGAGAAAAAAAAGTTGTTGTGGGGGCAGTGGTGGACGAGGTGAAAGGAGGGGGGGGCGGTGAGGTTGGTCTCGCAGGCAGGTGGGCAAAGACTGATCAAGAGTGATTACAGTTTCTTTTTGTTTGTTTTAGAGGTGCTGAGGTGGTGGGGAGGGGGCGCCGTATTGTAAAAGAGAGGGAGAAGGGCATGCTGGAAAAAAGAGAAAAGGAAAGAGAAGGGGACTCTAAGGAGAAGGAGGAGGAGGAGGAGGAGTGGTCAGGAGGCCAGAGGCAGAGAGAAAGGGACCATTACTCAGGCTCAACTGCTCCCTCAGTGGGGACAGTGAAGCCTGGCTTTCAGACAGAATATGGCCGCGGCCCGTTCAAAGACTCCAGTTACACTGGAGTCTGATGCGACTGAGGGCCAGCGGCCGGCGGGCCTCGCGAACCTC